AAAAGAAAAGAAAATGGAATGTGTAATCAAGACAGGAGGTGTCGAGCTCTTTCCAAGTCTGCAGCAGGGAATTTCCCGTTGGAACGAGCTGTAAATAGGATTTTTTCTTTGTAAAAAAAAAACCTATTTGAGCTACATCTTGCATGCTAATTCACTGAACTTTGGTCAATAGAGGCGTTTTTTGGCGGAAAAAAACAGTGAGCTGTCTAGAGCAGGGAATTTCCCGTTGAAATGAGCTATAAACGGATTTTCTTTTCTTTAAAAGAAAAAAAATAAGAAAAATCTTCCATGCTAATTGACTGAACTTTGGTCAAAAGAACGGAATCGAAAGTGAGAGTTCTTTTTAATTTGGATTGCGAGACAAGCATTTCTGATCTGGGTGTTAAGTTTCTCTCATAACATATTTAGCTTTTCCAATTCCTACGTAGAAACCCAACCATTACACAGGCTTAAGTAAGAATTAAAATAGAACCTCCATCTTAGGAATAATCATCAAATTTTGCCCCGTGTTCGTCCATTAGCTGGGAGCCGCTAGAATGTGTTAATAACTGAAAACACTGACAAATGAAGAATGAATGTTTTCGAATCAAGAAAAAACTAAGAACGGTTTGGAAACAGTTTCCCATTTTCAGTTAGCGACGATTGTCAACCATTCGGCGGCTGTGACATTTAAGGATACTCGAGCCGAGTTTGCTATATCGACCTCTAACAATGAAACGGTAAAAACCAGCTGCAACGACCATCAGCAAAGCCTCCCTAAAAAACCTCTGTTTTCAAATGTGCGCATCCATAAGAAATTATCAGAATTCTGGTTCACGTATATCTTCTTTTTTTTCAATGTAGCACTTAAAGTAAAGCAAATTAGACTTTCTGAACTGTAGAGGTCTACTGTAAAGGAGGAATGAAGCAAGTATTAACGAGTTCAGTAGCCACAAGGAAAAGGATGATTGACCCTACAGGAAATACGGCGTAAACAAGCTACTTATACAGATTAATTAAGTACAATTAAATAAAAACACTCCATATACTTACAGCATGATAAGAAGAAAAGGGCTACAAACCCAAAAA